AATATATAAAGTGCACCAAACTTGACTCAGTCCATTCAACAATTCTAAATGGACAATTATGTAACTCATCAATTAATTATTTGAAAGGATAATTTGTCAATTAAATACTGAAAAAAATAAACAATTCATTAATGAGGCAAGAACTTTTCTCTCTCTGTCTCTCTCTCTCTCTCTCTCTCTGTCTCTCTCTCTGTCTCTCTCTCTCTCTCTCTCTCTCTCTCTCTCTCTCTCTCTGGAAGCCCCACTCTAAGGGAGTTTGCAGTGTATTAGTGAGTCATATATTGTACAACCACAGTCATAAAGTTTTCAATCAGTAGTTTTATTTCAGTATGTATTTTTCCAGTATCACAAAAAATGTAATTTTATATGGTTAAAACCATCTAGCTTATGTGCACTTTTTAAAACACTGCCCAGCAAACATTCGGACGTTTAATGACAGTTGAACGGTCACAACTGTAAAATACCTGAAATTAAGAAAAATTAACATGACATCTACTGCATTTTCCTTGCCCGGCCTCAAACCCGGATCCTCCGGGGCGAGAGTCACCCGCTCTTCCAACTGAGCTATGCCAGCAACTACTTGACTAGTAGACTTTTTTATATAGATAGGTAGAGGGTAAAGTGCGGGGTACACTAACCAATCAGAGGACAGAGGAGATCTGCCACAGGCCACGCCTCCAGAGTGCCAAAACCCTTACAGCCGAGCGAGCAGGAGTCAGAAACCGAGCGCGCAGAGAGGCTGCCGAGCGCGCACAGAGGCTGCCGCGCGCGCACGTTTTCCTCTGCCGTGTGCTCGTTGACAACGCGCGCACGCAGGTTTGTCACTTGTGCACATCCTTGTGCGCTCACAGACACAGTTTGCTCCCTCTCAGTGCACAAATGTCCTCTCGCCATGTATATTTCCGCTCGCGAGTCCCGTTCACACGCGCGCTGTGGACCCAATGCGCGTGCACGGGTTTTGACAGGGGTATGACGCGATAGATTGGCCAATTGGTAATACACTCTGGGCTGGACCAATAGCCAGAGAGAGGTCTGATGCACCCGCCAGTTGTTTGTGAATCTCAGTAAACAGACAGACGAGCTTTGCAAAATGGAGAACAAAAAACGGAAAGGAGGAGCGGAGAAAATTCGACTAAAAAAGAAACTGGCCCTTCAGGCTGATGCTGGCACATGTGTTAAAATCTCACAGTTTTTTGGTAGTGAAGGTTCAAGTAAAATCAATTTAGGAAGTGATGGAGCCTCAGCCCAGCGACAGGTTGGAGAAGAAAAGAGGGAGGAGGAGAAACCCGAGCCGGTTGCCTGTCCAAGTGGCAGAACCGAATTTCAGGTAAGAAGTTATCTGGGTCAAATATAACCCAAGTTCAGGTGTAGTTTATTGTCATCGTCCTGCTTGCTAACTTTCTAAAGTCAGTTACAATAACTCATCTTACTGTTTATTAGACGGAGTTTCTACTGTTGGCCGGGTGCTATGATGTTACTGACAGTTAATTTTTCGGGTTGCCAACCTTCCCGTAAAAAAACCGAATCGTCCGTATGAGTTGAAACAGAACGTGATTTGTCCTGTAGTTTAGCTAGACTGAAACACACACACACAAAAAAAGACAACGCTGTGGTGTCTTTATTTATGCTGCTCGGACGGCCGTCTCCTCATTCCCCACCATTTTTTCTCCTTTTTGTAATATTGGCAATAAAGGCGGCGGGTGACATCTAAACTCAGGTGCATTTGATCATCAGCGGATCCGTTTATTAGCCGATGTTTGCTGTAAAAGCTGCTGGTCATGGTGTCAGTTTGCATCTGATGAGAAAGAAACATCGAGAAGAAATAGGAGATGTCCAGGCTCAATCATCCGAGCAGCTGAACAGTTAATGGAGGAACTGTTCACATTTTAGATTACATGAATGACTTGAAGAAAAGTTATGAACAAATGTCACCAGGATTCTTTTTTACGTAGCTGATAGAAGGCTGGTGACTGTGCAGGGGAGGCTCTAACAGTTTTGCCTGGGGGCAGGTATAAGGCAGAGGGGGGAGACAGAAATACTTTTATTTCTTATTTTCATTTTAAATGTGTAGAACTTAAATCAGGGATGTCAAATTCATTTTCATTTTTGGCCACACAAAGATCATGCATGCTCTTAAAAGGCTGGTTATGCAGAAAGTATTGAAAAAACTATTAATAGACTAGTAAAATAGTAATAAACATGTCTCTGCATTTTAGCAGTACTACTTAAAATGAAATAATTGTGAAAATCTTCTCCCAATGATGTGATTTACGACTATTCAAATAAACACTTATTTGATTTGACTATAAATTGGACATACATAGAACTTCAACGTTCTATTTATATTGTCCTCCATGAGATGCTGTTTGTAAATTTACACAGTTAAAATTAACAATAATGTCGGTTATTTAGCCTGTCATATGAGAAATTAAAAGGGAATTAATATTTCAAAGTCTTTGTTTATTCATTAAGAAATGTTTCGACTTCAAACTATTTGGTAAAACATTTAACATTCATAAAAACATGTATACTTAGTTTGCAAGTGAAATATTTAGTTAAAAAGTGAAATATTTTGGTGAGAAGATACATATTTGGTTTGTAAACAAAATATTTAGTTAAATAGTTAAATATTTCATTTGGATGCTAAATATATATTTAAGAAGGTAAATATTTTGTTTGTAATCAAAGTATTTAGTTAAAAAGTTAAATATTTAGTTTGGATGTTATATATTTAGTTAAGAAGGTAAGAATTTCATTTGTAAACAAAATATTTCATAATTAATTATTAATAATGAATTATTTTTCAGAAAAAAAAATTCAGAAATGTACAGTAGAATTAAACACAAATAATCATAAGTTAGTGTTTGTGGAGACTTTAATATAGATATTTGAAATGCACACAATCATAACACAAAATTTTTTAATTATGTGTTTTGTTAAAGATTCCGTCCAACAATTACACACCCTAACAGGATAGCTATAAATACTGCAACTCGTATTAACATATTAGCAAATAGTTACAGAAGTAAATACTGTATATGATGTCAGCATTTTCCCCACATTTTCTAGATACTGCACCAGTACGATTAGAATACCAGGATAGGAAGGATGGTGTAGGTTTACGTTTATTAGATTGATACATAAATATTACCAATAAGAAAGTGTACATTGGTGTGTGACAGAAACAGCGTAAGGCTTAATGTCTTTTCCAAAAAAAACCAGGTGATGGTCCAGTCTCCAGTCAAAATGCCCGGGCTGAATTTTTGTCCCAGTCCAGCCCTGGTCATAGTGTAATAGCTCCTGAAGTGATGAAATGTTAATCAATTTGTGTGAGAGAGAAGATTTTTGTTTAATAATTCAGACACATCCATGCTGCAGCCACACACTGCTACACACACTGTAACACTGATTTCATTAGCTGTTCCAGACAGTTTGGGGCTCATTTAAATTATTTAACTCTGCCTCGGTGATGCTGGAACCACACAAAGACCTTTTATGTGGATGGATTATTTCACCATATCTGGCTTTTAGTATAGTGCACATTCAGTGTTAATGTCTTTCCCCTTTAAAGAGAAAATTAGATCAGACAAATAATATTTTTAAATACTTATTGTTTACCTGCATGAGCTAGCAGGCGTCAGTGATAACTGTCTGAACTATGTAAAAACTTTAACAACATTCCTCTTGGACATGTTCTGATTTGCTGCTTCTGCTCACACATGCAGTTTTTGAGCTTCGATGTACTTCAGGGCTCTTTGATACTGAACTTGCAAGTTGACGTCTCAGTTTCTTTCTTCAAAAAGAAGGAAATGGAAACAATTAATTATTATTATTTTATATTTACTTTAAAGTATAGCTATAAAATCAGGAATCAGGAAGGACTGCCCATCAAATGTTGAAATTTACCATGTTGACCTTGATTTGTAATGCAGAAGCTGATGATTAAACTCTCTTGTTTCAAAAGTATTTTATCACATCTTCTAAAACTTGGGCCCTTGAAAAACTTAAACGTTCCTATTGGACTGAATTTGACTTAATTTAGTAAAACTTCAGGTATTTAAGAAAATATCTCAGAAAGTGGGGCACAAGATATTTTAAGTGCTTAGACACCAAACAGCTAGTGCTGAAAATCCTGTGCCATTTATTTTTGATGTGCCTAAATGTGAAATACACAGAAAATAACACGCAGCTAGCGTGCTACGCTAACTACATGTTCTCCCTATGTGTGCGTGAGTTTTCTCTGGGTACTCCAGCTTCCTTCCACAGACCAAAAACATGCACATCAGGTTAATTTACAACCCAAATGTGTCCCTTGTGTGTGACTTTTTCTCTGCGCTTCCCTATGATGGACTGTCAACACGCACAGATGACCCCTGTCACCCTTCACCCAGGATCTGCTGGAGTTAGACACCAGTTTACTGCAACCTGAGAAACCATTTTTTACTTACCATTATTTTTAAAAATAATCAGTCACTTTGAGTTGAACATGCAGACTGAACGTAGAAATCTTCGACCCCTTGTTCCTGCATTAGCTACGGATAGAAAATAGACAGAAAAACGCGCGGTTCAGAAAAGCCTGACAGATCTACGTCACACTGTTACTTAACATTCATGGACTCACTCATCTTGACTCACGAGGGTGAAGGCTGCTGTTGGTTTAGCGTCCAGGAAACTGCAGAGAATGTCTCGACAAGTAGAAGCTAACCATTAGCATTAGCAACTCCACCACACAGCAGAACTCCTCCAGGCTTGTGTGTGTCATTTGTGGAGATAAAACATCAACGTTGTGGAGCAGAGGTGAGGTGTCCAAATACCAAGAGACAACATCAGAGCCCCCCCCACCCCACCCCCACCACCACCACCCCCGAGCATGACCCACAAAGCAGCATCAAATCCTATTATAGACCACTGCAAATGTTTTAAAAGATGTGTTGACCTTTAAGATGATTACTTACATTAAAGATGATTTGGTTAATGTAAAGACATTTGTCTGTCTGCAGAGTCCCCTCCGGAAAGGGCAGGACGCCGACGCAGCGTGCCTGGCTCCTCAGACAAGACCACATCCACCATGGACGCCACCGCTACCACTGCCACGCCTTTCAGAGTCACCGTCAGTACGGTCAGTTTGCTTATATTTGTTGTGTGTCATCTTTATCTTTTTGTTTTGGGGAAGGTTTTACTTAGGAATCCATGTTTGCAGGGGGCTGACTTACTTTTAAAAGGGTTATCTGTTCATCAAACGTCTACTCACAAAAACCTGATCATCCTTAACGTGTTTTCTTTTGGATGATTGATATGTGTTTTGTAAGCTAACCTGCACATATTTACCCACACAGCTCTGTTCTGTCAACACATTGACCGTCCTGTCCGACACAAATGAAGAGCTCACCTCTGTAATGCTTCCTGACATGTTTAATTCAGTAGATAAAAAGCCAGTTAATGAAGCATAAACTTTCACCATGAGCCACTGATTTAAAGATAATTAGTAATTAGCAGCACCGATTTTCATTAATAATTAACAAGCAGGGAGATGACAAACCAGAGGTGAAGTGTAAACACTTAAAGTCAGGCCAGTTGGGCCGCAGGCTTTTTGTTTCTAATAAACACGTTTCTGTGTAAACTTCTTTTATACTTTGCAGCACTTAGCAGGAACATGTAAGGGCTCATTTAGGAGCTAAATCGTGCTTGGGTCTCTAAAAAAATAATTTATAAATGTTTTCTTTCTAAAAAAATTCTTAGCTTTTACATTCTAATTAAATAAATTTTAGAGAAATACTAAATTATTGCATATATATATATATATATATATATATATATATATATATATATATATATATATATATATATATATATATATATATGATGAAAAAGACAAACACTGTTAATTGAAAAAGAAACATGAAGAAAAGCACATCTATATTTTTATTGACTGATGCAACAAATGGTGAACAAAAACAAACATGCGTCTAATTTTTGACTATGATGTTATTTGGGCAGGAATTGAACAGTAATTAGTAATTACAAATGCAAAAAAAAAATCAAAGGAAAAGGCAGAGAAAATGCAGGCTTGTAGAAATATTCAGGTGGAGGAGTCGATTGTTAAAATGTCTCTAAAGCAACTTTCTGTTTCCTTCAGAGGATAAAGTAGTGTAGAGAAGCTTCGCATCATCCACATGACTGGTGGGGTCACAGTCATGGAATAAAAAATACTACTACTAACCCTAACTATAATAATAATAATAATAATAATAATAATAATAATAATAATAATAATAATACAAACCTCTGGTGACTAATTCTCACCAACTTTCCATCTATCCTTCATGCATGTTTTCTGATGCTGCCCCCTCCTGGTCCTTGGTGGTAGCACATCCTTATTAGTAAAGCATTGACCCATTTTGATGATTTTTTTATTTTTTATTTTTGGCATGGATTAAAAATCAGCTAAATAATTATGGGGACTAGAATATTCAAAGGAAGAAACATTCTGCACATCCTACATGCTGTTTGGTGAGTAGTCCTTTATCTGTCTTTTTTCTCTAGCAGTGACTAAACTCTCGACACTTTTCTGTCATGGTCTGCGTCCTGCGTCCCCCTCATGTGTTCTCCAGCCCCCTCTAGGTTCCCCTTATGTGTCTCCTTGTGTTTCACCAGCCCATTTCAGGTTCCCTTATGTGCCCCCTTAGGTTCTGTGTCCCTGTGGTTCCCCAGCCCCCTCCAGGTTCTCTCCAGGTTCCCCTCATGTTTCCCTTTGTCACTTTTCTTATCATTAGTTTTCTGTTATTGTAGATTGTCTAGTTCGTTTCTCCCTTTAGGTATCATCCTCCCCTGTCTTCCAGTGTTTTTGGTTCTATTACTCCTAGGTCATTAGTTTTACTATATTTAGTTCTCCAGTGTCTTATTTCTACAAGGGTTTTAAGTTATTTAATTCAGTAGCTTTGTTTAACAGGTATTAGTTGGGGTTTTCCTCACCTGCCCTGTTCTGCTCCTCCTCTTTGCCATTAATATCACCTGTGCCCAATCCTCCTAATCACCCAGCCCCTGAGTATAAAACCCTGTGCTGTCTTTCTGCATTTGTCGGTCCATTGTTTGTGTCAGCGTTGTCTCACTCCCTCTCTTGGTTTTTGGATATCTCCAGGTCTGCTCTTTAAAGGAGCACTTGGTCTCTAGGATTTACGCATTAGGATTTTGGTTTTTTTTTTTTTTTGGCTTCCTGCCCTTTTTGGAGTTTTACTTTGGACAATTATCCCTAATAAAGGACTCTACCTTTTTTCCTACAACTCCTGCCTCGAGGCCTCCTGGTTACTGCATTTCTAACCTCCCCCTACTCGCATTGTGACATTTTCTCCCCATCATGAAAAGAGCTGCGGTGACATCTGAAGCACTCATCCTAGGCCTTGAGATAAATATGTTAAAATGTTATTCTCTCCTGTTTGCAGAGAGACAGGACACACACGCACGCACGCACGCACGCACACACACACACACACACACACACACAATCTCTTATAAAATACTAACCAGGATGCGGAGGACATCTTTGCACAGTCTCATTTAGCAATCGATGAAAACTGAACTCCAACAGACAGTCCAATCTCAATTTAGTCGGTTTACTTTACTTACTGTCAGAACCAGATCAGTTCCTGCAGTGAACCCTACTCCCTGGTTCAATGACAGCCTGAAGCGCCAATGCAGAAAAATTGAGCATTTGTGGAAGAAAACACATCTCCACGTCCATCTGCTGCACCTAAAGGATCTTCTGACATCCTTTAACTCTGCAGTCAGAGACGCGAGGGTTTCCTATTTCTCCAACCTGGTGTCCCAGAGCAAAGGGAACCCCAAGGTGCTGTTTAATACCATCAGCAGCATCGTCTCTCCTGTCTCTCCTACAGCCTCCATCCACTCTGTTACAGACTGTGAGAACTTTCTGTCTTTCTTTGTGGACAAAGTCAATAAGGTTAGATCTAGCATCTCTCCTTCAGCCTTATCGCCGCCTCTCCCGACTCCAACCAGGCCCATCATCCTAGATAGCTTTGCTCATGTTTCTTTGCCTGAGTTAACCAAACTAGTTAACTCTATGAAGACCTCTGCATGTCCCCTCCACATCTTACCCTCATCTTTGTTTAAAAGTGCTTTTCAGTCCATCGGTCCCAGCGTGCTCTCTATAATTAATGCTTCTCTGGTTTCTGGTCAGGTCCCTGCTTACTTTAAGAACGCTGCAAAAGCTCTTTTCCATCGCCAGGTCTGGAACAGCCCGGTCTGTTTTTTTTTTGGACCAGTATGTTCCGGTATGGGTCTGGAATTTTCAGACGAGTGTTTCGATCGCATTTTGGGCCTTTACGTCGGCAGGCAGGGTTAAACGAACCATCGTGCGCAATTTCAAAAGTTGTGCAACTATTCAGTATTTCTGTGCTGCAATAAATGGTCTAGAGAGCTAAAGACAAAACAAAATGTTTACCACAGCCTCCACATGTGACTCCAGAGTGCAGTCGCTAAGTCCAGAAGTCTGCCCCACTGCCTTGGCTATAAATAGCATCCAGTGCGTCGTAGCAACTCCGTGTATTTCTCCCATCCGAATAAAAAAATCCACTCCGGCTGTTTCTGTCCTTAACTAATAATTGTATTAGGCTTTAATTTCTTCATCTTGGCTCTGCTCTGACCCTTCGGCTGCCATCCGCTGAGAAAAAAACTACCGATCCGTCTAGCTCCTCCTGTGGACTCTCACGATGATGATGAGAATCGTATGGAACTCTGAAGGTGACCAAAACTTGCTGCTACTTTTTGACTTTTCTGTACAGCTAAAGAAAATACAAACAACGGAACTCCATTAGTTTTCCTTGTTGCAAGTAGTGATGTATTCCTGTCGACCAATCAGTGGACTGTGTTGTTGCTCCACCCTAACCGTACCGCTCCAGGAATTTCTGGACCAACAACAGAAGGGATCCCAAAAAGTCCCATGACTGGCGCAGCCTGGGTTGGTTGTCTGGACCAGTTTTACAATCGGAACAGAAAACTTAGCGACCCGATCCATCCCATTCCATGCCAGTTTGGGCGATGGAAAAGTCCTATAATCCACCCGCTTCTTAAAAAAACGAGTCTCGACCCCTCTCTTCATAGCAGCTTAAGACCCATCTCTAAACTTCTGTTCATCTCCAAGATCTTGGAAAAGGTTGTGACTAAACAACTCACAGCTGCTCTTCATGAACATAACATCGTTGACCATTTCCAGTCAGGTTTTCGTAGAGCTCATTCCATTGAAACAGCTCTTCTTCAGGTCTCGATTTACCTTCTGACCCCCAGTGATGCAGGGGACTGTTCTGTTCTGGTCCTGCTGGACCTGACTGCAGCCTTTGACATTGTTGACCATCACCTGCTACTGGAGAGGCTAAGAGACTGGGTAGGCCTATCAGGATCTGCTCTGGAGTGGTTTTCCTCATATCTCTCTGAGCGTTCCTTCTCTGTGACCATCTCCACCCTTCTCACCCACGGTGTCCCACAAGGTTCGGTGCTGGGGCCTCTACTCTTCCTCACCATCTGCTTCCTCTTCAGCACATCCTGAACTCATTTAAAGGAATCTACTACCATCTTTATGCAGATGACATCCAACTTACATCTCATTTAAGCCCCATGAGATGTCTAAGCTGCAGATGTTACACACCTGCTTATACTCTATCAAAACCTGGATGGCTGGGAGCTTTCTACAGCTGAATGAAGATAAGACTGAGATCCTCATCTGTGCCCCAGACAAGCTGGTTCCCAAAGTCAGAGACTCTCTTGGTCAGCTTGCTTCCCACACCAAACCTTCTGTCAGGAATCTTGGCATGACCTTTAACCCAGCTCTCACCCTAGACTCTCATGTCAGTTATCTTGTTTGCTCTTCCTTCTTCCATCTCAGGAACATTGCAAAGCTGAGTCCCATTCTGTCCCGCTCTGAACTTGAGACAGTTCTCCACACCTTCATCTCCTCACGCTTAGACTGCTGTAACTCTCTTCACGTGTCTGAGCAGAACCTCCCTGAACCGTCTACAGGTGGTTCAGAACGCCTGTGCTCGACTTCTGACCAAGTCCTCCAAACACATCCACATCACCCCGCTTCTCCTCCAGCTTCACTGGCTGCCA